CCCGCCGTTCCCGGCGCAGTGGAATCCAGAACCCCCACCGCCGCCGCCGCCGCCTCCGTTCCTGTGAGGGGCTGAGGGGTGAATCCCTTCCCCGTCCTCGTCCGCCATCTTGAGAGCAAGCGAGCCGTACCCCCGCCCCCCTACGCCTCCACTCGCTCCCAGCGCGCGCTCGTCCTTCTCAGCAGCCGTGCGACCCCCGACGCGCGCGCCCGCTCGCCGGCAACGGGACCAAGTCGGCCACAGAGGGCTGGAGGGTATAAAGGGGAGTCAGGGGGCGGGGGAAAGCGGACGGTTGGGCACCGCGGGGCCTCCCGGGAATTGTAGTTTCTAGACGGTGGGGGTGGGGAGGGGGGGGCTCGGCCGGGGCCCGAGTGGAGGTTAAAGTACGCAGTTCGAGAGCAAGGCCTGCTGGGAGTTGTAGTTTGTCTTTTGTGCTCTCAGGAGTTTCTTCATCTCCTGTTTGGCGGTGAGCGTCTAACCTATCTGTGAGCGTAGCAAGATGATTCAGCTGTTGACGCGGGGCAGGTTTTTTTCCTCTTTCCTTTCATAATAGGATAAATTGACGTTTATGATTCAACACAATCTTAAATTATATCAACTCATTTGCTCAGTAACTTACGTGTTCACGTGCATTCTTTTATTTAATATCCCCAACAACCTGCTGAGACAACATAATTACGAATCAGTTTCCCTATTTCATATATTAGGAAATTGAACCTTAGAGTACCTAAAGTTTCCCAGCTATTAAGTAACAGGAACTAAGACCCAGTTATTTTTGCACAACTTTCTTTTCATGTATTGCAACTACATGAAAACTGTGACCCAGCTATACAAAAGGCATATGTAGAGAGGTAACTACAGTCTCAGTAATTTATTACTGGGTATTGGAATGGCCAAGTAATAATTTCAATTTAGCAATAATTTCGAAGTTACTTTTATTTCAGATTCATTTTGTTTCCCCTAACATCACAGTAGAGTTCCTAACATATGGCAGCAATTGGTGTTTTTTGGCGACTTGCCAAAACACAAACTTACGGATATTGTGCCGAGTGCCTGGTGAAGGCAAGTAAGAAAAGAAAGAGCAAACATAATGAAAATAGTTTACTTCAGCAATTACTACCCAAGTCTGGCATTTGATTTTACCTTACTGATAGGGTAATAAATTAGTCTGATATTTTTTCATGGATACTGTAGAAGACACAAGATTCCTGGGTCAGAGACAAAGGAAGTAACATGAGCTTCAGCATGTTTGTGTTAATTCCTCTTGCCCCTCAAGTCCCACTGGGATGAAATGAAAGGCTCAGATGAATGCTGTGCACTTAATGTACTTATATTACATCCGAGGAACACTGAGTCTGGGCAACCTGCCATTTTACAAGAAGCAGTAAGCAAACCTATTCTTTGTCCTGGAGGGAGGCATTACTTCATCCCTCAAGGTTGCTCTCTATAAACACAACCCAGAGAAATGACCGTGGTAAACAGCAGTCAGGACCTTGCATTCTTGACATACCCAGGAAGATGAGTAGAAGTATGAAAGACCAATGAAAGACTATCTCTCCCAGCATTACTATGTGCCAAACACTATTCTAAGCACTTTACATTTATAATCTCATTTAATCCTCACAATCCTATAGTAGCCTCTGTTTTACAGATGAATAAACAGGCATGGAGAGGTCACACAACTAATAAGCAATGAATCTAGGAGAAACAGAGGTCTTTGACTTATAAAATCAACAAGCAACCCCCTAAAGTAATTTATAAACTATGTAAGTGTTTCCAGGAATTGCTCAGGGGAGAAAAAAACCTTGTAAAAAGAATTAAGAGATCTTACAAAATACAGGATGAGGACACAAAGTCATTATAATTAGAACATAAAAATTAATGTGACCTTATTTTACAACCAAGCTAATGAAGAAGGATCATGATTAGTTACACAAATATGGAAATTAATAAAGTTGGAATAGGAATTTTGCTCCAGAATAATAATGGCACTTGCGTTGAACATGAATCATTTTGTTTGAACTGAGCACTGGATGGGAAGGAACTTATCCACTCTTATCTCCTTAAGAGAAAGGAAAAAGAAAGGAACCTCTGCTAAAAAGCTATTTTTTTTAATTTTTTGATAAAAATATACTGAATGCCTACTCTGTTCTAGGCTTGTAATGGTGGCTAGGGATATAGAGATAAATAAGATGATATCCACGAGCTCCATGAAGGGCAATAGGGCATGCACATACAAATGCACATACTCCTTGGTGTGGCAGTTCCACTTGAAGGAGTTCATTCTACTGTTACACTTGCACACATGTGAAATGACATTTTTGTTAAGTCATTGCAGTATTGTTTGTATTGACAAAATATTGGAAACAACCTAAATTATGATACATCCACAATGGAAAACTGAATCACTGTAAACAAGGAAGGAAGCTCTTTATGCGCTGATACAGCATTCTATCTTATGGACACTGTACTGGCTAAGTGAAAACAAAGTGCAGCACAGTCTGTAGAATGTGATACCATTGGTGTATAAAAGGGGAATAATATGTTTATATCCCTAGAAGTGTTCACAAGAAATTGATAATATTGATTGCTGCTGGGGAGGGAGACTGGACAGCTGGAGTGGGGACAGGAGTAGAAGGGAGACTTTTCACTTTATACCTATTAGTAACTTCTGAATTTTCAGTTAGATGACTGTGTTGCCTATTCAAAAAATAAATAAAATATTTAGAAAGGATCAGACTGGAAGAAAAGATAATCAGAGCATCAAAATAAAATAAGACACCTTACTGCTCATGAGAACTCACAATGTGGCAGGAGAGATAGCAAAAGAAAGAATGATTACAATATAGCATAATGACAGCTGTGACAGAGGCCTGTACGTGCTTTGAAGAGTGCATATAGGTGGTGCCTTCAACCACAGGGTAGGTAAGGAGATAGGGAAGACAACTCATGAAATGAGAGCACTAAGCAGAGTGATTTTAGATAAGAGTTAGTATGGCAAAGCATAGTGATAGAAGGGCATATCTGACAAGGGAACTGCATATTCAAACAGAGATTTGAAAGAATACAGTTTAGTGTGAGAACAAGCAGATCAGTAGAACTGGAGCAGAGGGGACAGGGTAGGAAGTGGACAAGGGAGGTGAGCAAGTCATATCCAGGAGGGTTTCAGATATTAAATGTCATGCCCAGGAGTTTGAATTTCATTTCTAAGTGTTTAGGGGCCTCTGAATACCTTTTAGAAGAGTAGAGGTATTACCAAACTTGTGCTTCAGAAAGATCACTCTTTCTGGATCAAGAATGAATTGAGGGAGACCAGTTAGCTCAGTTAGTTAGAGAGCAGTGTTGTAACACCAAAGTCAAGGGTTTGGATCCCTGAACTGGCCATCCAAAAAAAAAAGAATTGAAATAGACCAGTTAAGAAGTAAGTGTGGTGGTTCAGGTGAGAATTAATGAGATTCAAACTAAGGCAGTGATGTTATACAAGGAGGGGGATGCCAGGAGAAAAAGGACTTGGTGACCATTAGGATCTTATGTGCCGATGTGGGGGAGGCAGGAATGACATAAGATTCCTGACTTGGTGGTGCAATTCCCCAAGACAAGGCATGAAAAGGAAGAGGAAGAGATTTGCAGGGAAGGTAATGAGTTTACTTGGGGGCCTGTGGGAGATCCAAGAGGAATTTTCCAGCAATTGCTTAGATGCATAAGTCTGACACTGGGGAAAAGCATTTGGGCCAGGACATAGATTTGGGAGCCATCAGCTCTGGGTGGTGGATGAGAGCCCCAAGGGAGAGCATGTAGTGAGAAGAAAGGAGTGCCAAGGCCAGACCCAGGAGAATCTACCCTTGCCTGCCACTGCCTCCTCATGCCCCCGCACCCCATTTAAGAGACTTGAAGAGGAAGGGGACACAATAGAAGAGGTGTCAGAGAGCTGGGAGACCCAGAGAGATGGGGTCTTAGAAGTTGATGGAGCTGCCTTCAGAAATAGGACCTGGACCATTTGCAGAGCACTTCCCATCCAAGAGCTAGTTTCGTCCTCACAACAACAATGTAGATAGAAATATTCACAAGACATTAGGCTTAGATAACCAGAAGGCCCCAGTCACACCTAGTTAATAGCAGAACTGAATCTTGAACCCAAATTTTTTGACTATGTTCCTTTTGGTTGAATAAGAAAAAGTTCCTCCTACCCTTTGTGATCTGCCAAGTGGGCAGGTTTCCATTACCTTTTTCTATAGGAATTACTTAAGTGAGAATCCCACCTCCACACTTTTGCTCATATAGTCTTTTGGTCCTAGAAGTTCTGCCTCTTCTCTTTCTCTCTTTGCTGGTCTAAATTCTACTCATCTCGGGCCGGCCTGTGGCTCACTCGGACTGGGTGAGCGTGGTGCTGACAACAGCAAGTCAAGGGTTAAGATCCCCTTACCGGTCATCTTTAAATAAATAAATAAATAAATAAATAAATAAATAAATAAATAAATAAATAAATAAATAAATAAATAAATAAATAAATAAATAAATAAATAAATAAATAAATAAATAAATAAATAAATAAATAAATAAATAAATAAATAAATAAATAAATAAATAAATAAATAAATAAATAAATAAATAAATAAATAAATAAATAAATAAATAAATAAATAAATAAATAAATAAATAAATAAATAAATAAATAAATAAATAAATAAATAAATAAATAAATAAATAAATAAATAAATAAATAAATAAATAAATAAATAAATAAATAAATAAATAAATAAATAAATAAATAAATAAATAAATAAATAAATAAATAAATAAATAAATAAATAAATAAATAAATAAATAAATTCTACTCATCTTTCAAGCCCTAGCTGGAGTTCCTCCATAAAGCTCCCATGAAGACTCCAGTTCACTCTGACATCTCTCTTTTCTAAATTCCTAAGGCAAATACATCTTCAGGTGATTCCCCAATGAGCCATGCTCTTGTGTAATTCCCTCCCCTTGAGTGTGGGTAGAACCTGTGACTGCTCCTAGGCAATAAAATATGTTTCAACCATAACAAATTAATATCTAGTTTAGCTTTACCTTTCCAATTTGAACATAAGCTTCTTGAAAACAAGGAACTG